CTATTCCACTGACACCAATGATGGGGTGCTATTCCCCCCAATGATACTAATGAAGGGGCACTATTCCTGCCACTGATACCAATGATGGGACACTATTCCTTCCACTGACACCAATGATGGGGCACTATTCCTTCCACTGACACCAATGATGGGGCGCTATTCCTGCCACTGATACTAATGATGGGGTGCTATTCCTCCCACTGACACCAATGATGGGGCACTATTCCTGAAACTGATACCAATGATGGGACACTATTCCTGCCACTGACACCAATGATGGGACACTATTCCTGCCACTGACACCAATGATGGGGCACTATTCCTCCCACTGACACCAATGATGGGGCACTATTCCTCCCACTGATACCAATGATGGGGCACTATTCCTCCCACTGACACCAATAATGGGGCACTATTCCCCCACTGAAACCAATGATGGGGCACTATTCCTCCCACTAATACCAATGATGGGGCACTATTCCTCCCACTGACACCAATGATGGGGCACTATTCCCCCACTGATACCAATGATGGGGCACTATTCCCCCCACTGATACCAATGATGGGGCACTATTCCTCCCACTGACACCAATGATGGGGCACGATTCTTCCCACTGGTATGATGGGGCACTATTCCCCCCACTGATACCAATGAGGGGTATTCCTTGATACGGCAGTATTCCTCCCACTGAACACTGATGGGGCACTATTTAAACTGATAAATAGGGGGCACTATTCCTCCCACTGACACCAATGATGGGGCACGATTCTTCCCACTGGTATGCACTGGAAGAGGGGTAGTCTTATACGGGAGTATAGCCCAAACACTACTTTTGGAAAATAGGGGGTCGTCTATAAAGTGACATAAAATATATATACGTGCCAATAAATCAGTGGATTGATCCTCGCTGGGGATCTCAATATACAGTGAAATAAAATATATATACGTGCCAATAAATCAGTGGATTGATCCTTTCTGGGGATCTCAATATAAAGTGACATAAAATATATATACGTGCCAATAAATCAGTGGATTGATCCTTTCTGGGGATCTCAATATAAAGTGACATAAAATATATATACGTGCCAATAAATCAGTGGATTGATCCACTGATATATTGGCATGTATATATATTTTATGTCACTTTATATTGAGATCCCCAGAGAGGATCAATCCACTGATTTTTTTGTCACATATATATATTTATATCACTTTGTTTGTTTTTGCCATATTGTATTATTGTATTATTAGGGTAGAGCTGCATCATTTTGGTTTCATTACTTTTCCTGGACAGTACCGTACGAGTCAGCTTGTGTAGAGGTGGCCATGCACATTTGGATTTGTGATCAATCTGGAGTACTGTCTGTGATACTTTTTTACACGGGTGGCAAACATAGGCGGTCGAGCTGTGGTTTTATTGCCCCCTGGTTTTATCGCACTGCACTCAGTCAATGCTCTAGCTGTATAGCGGTTCAGTATGCTGACTCAACAATACAGATTGTATAATAAAGCACAAATATCATCGTATATATTATAGGACGAGGGGGGGGGGGGGGTGTACCTGCGGCAGGAACTTTCCAGACACAATAATCCCGCTGGGTGTCCTCTCCAGGATCTGCCACACTCGGTCATAGAAGCCGGATGGATTCCTATTCAGGGAGCCGTCTATCTGCCTGCGGTTCAGCCAACACCTATAGGGCAGAAACAACGACACGGATTGCACAGATCCATCAGGACAATGAATAATACATGTCTAATGATTTACACTAGAGCGTCGTGTTAGAAGCGGTCTGATCTAACAGCACTGCTAAATTATTGAGGTGAAAAAAAAAAAAATCTCTCCCCAATTTGTGTGCTTCATTTAATCTAATGGTTCTTTTGTAAGAGATTTTAAAAAGAGTGTAAATCTCATTTATTTCTTTAAATAACAAACACGTCATATTTATTTGGCTTTGCACAGATCAGCCTCGATCGTCCTCTTCTTGGATCTCCTGGCGGCACCCCTGGCCACTGCCCTCTGTTGAGTGCTCCCATATCAAGCCACTTTCTATGGGGGCACTCATACAAGCTTGCTCTTGAGCCGACTCTGTGTGTCCATCGATACGCAAAGTGTAGCTTGGCCCCACCTCTTCTCTCCCTTCTCAATGGCTGTGACTGACAGCAGCGGGAGCTAATGGGAAGGCAGGCAGCCGAGAGAGCCGTTGCTCTCGTGCACAATGATTGAGATTGGGCTCAGGTAAGTAGAAGGATTGGGGGGGGGGGGGGGGGGGAGAATGCATTAAAGCGGAGTTCGACTCAAAAGCAGAAGTTCCGCTTATTTGCCTCCCCCCCCCCCCACTGCCATATTTGCCACCTTTTTGGGGGAGAGGGGGAGGAGATATCTGATTTTGACAGGTATCCACTCCCACTTGTGGCTCAGTTTGCCACGGCGCAGTGAACCGGAAGTTCACCACCCTCTTTCCTCCCACAGTCTCCTGGGAACCTTCACAGTTCCCAGGAGACTGCCGGAACAATGAGAATGCGTAGTGCGACTCACGCATGCATAGCGGGTACTCCGCTGTGAAGCCTCAAGCTGTCACAGCCTGGTGCCCACAGCTGTGATGCCGGTGCTGGGGAGAAGAGAAGGGACAGCTCAGGTGAGCACATTGCTGGATCCGCTCTCCCCGGACCCCGCATTCACTATATCCACTCTACCCAGACCCCGCATTCACTATATCCGCTCTCCCCGGACCCCGCATTCACTATATCCGCTCTCCCCGGACCCCGCATTCACTATATCCGCTCTCCCCGGACCTTGCATTCACTATATCCGCTCCCCGGACCTTGCATTCACTATATCCGCTCTCTCCGGACCTTGCATTCACTATATCCGCTCTCCGCAGACCCCGCATTCACTATATCCTCTCTCCGCAGACCCCGCATTCACTATATCCTCTCTCCGCAGACCCCGCATTCACTATATCTGGTCTCCCCGGACCCTACGTTCACTATATCCACTCTCCCCGGACCCCGCATTCACTATATCCACTCTCCCCGGACCCTGCATTCACTATATCTGGTCTCCCACAGTACACACGACATGGAAATGCAATTATTTTAGTAAATATAAACTGCTAAATATCTTTTCTCATCAGCAGTATATAGCAGTCTTGTGACTTCTATCAGTGTCCAGCAGAGCACTGGGTAAAGCTTGTGGGAGTTTTCTTTCTGCTCTAGGAGGATGCAAAACCCTTGACCCTCTGTCTGGACAGTGCTGATTGGCCCTGTGCTGATCACATGCACTCTCCCAAGAAATAAAACAAACCTTTCTAGCAATACACACTAAACTGAGTATGTGCATGTGGCTACAGGTTCAATCTGTCTTATCAGGTGGACATTTGAACAAGAGGAGGGGCGAAGAAGACAGGATCAAACAGCCTTTTTACACAATGCAGAGTATTAACCCCTTAGGTTCCACAGTGAATATAACCAGCATGCTTTACTGCATCTACAGACTGATTGCACTGCTGGGGGTTTATTAACACTGTAACTATGACACTGATCTTAGAACTCCGATGTACCAATGTAGGATACCCCAGTGCGGTCCGTTCTCACCTTCCAGACTGCTGTGGCTTTAGAATACAAAGGAGAAGCTGCTTGATTTCACTTGGAGACAACTGATAGATGTCCGTCTCTGACTGATCCCCGCCGCGGGTCTGGCTGCGAATCTGGAGCTCGTACCTCATGGCGTGAACGATCCATCTAGAAGGAAGACAGGGACACGTGTCAAACAGCAGGTTCATTATGCCTCACGTGTTGGGGTAAAAGGTGACGCTGCTCACGGGCTGCTTTGACATGACTACTTGGAACTCATGTGACTACTATTGTCTCTAGCAGGATACTGGCAGCAGGCAACGACTTAGAAAGATAATATGGGGTCGAGTTACTAAAACCGGAGCACTCAGAATCTGGTGCAGCTGTGCACGGGAGCCAATCAGCTTCTAACTTCAGCTTGTTCAATGAAGCTTGGACTATAAAACCTCGAAGCTGATTGGTTCCTATGCAGAGCTGCACCAGATTCTGAGTGCTCCAGTTTTAGCAACTCAACCCCATGGCAGGCTGCTGGAGACAATGACTTATTATTATTATACAGGATTTTATATGGCGCCAACAGTTTGCTCAGCGCTTTACAATATAACGGGAGACAATACAGCAACAATACAGTTCAATACAAGAGGGATAGGAGGGACCTGATCCTGGAAGCTTACAATCTAGGAGGGAGGGGCTAGTGGTACAAAAGGTAGTAACTGTGGGGGATGGACTGGTTGGAGGAGTAGAAGATTCCATTATTAGCTGACAGCAGGATAGGCTTCCCTGAAGAGATTTCAGAGATCGCTTGAAAGTAGGCAGAGTAGGCGATAGTCTGATAGATTGGGGTAGAGAGTTCCAGAGGATGGGGGAGGCTCTGGAGAAGTCAAGGAGACGAGCCTGGGAGGAGGAGACAAGGGAGCTAGAGAGCAGGAGGTCGTGGGGGGAGCGGAGAGAGCGGTTTGGGTGATATTTGGAGACAAGATTGGTGATGTCATTTGGGGCGGAGTTATAAATGGCTTTATATGTTATTGTTAATCTTTTGAATTTTATCCATTGGGCAATGGGAAGCCAGTGGTGGGATTGGCAGAGAGGGGGGGTGGAGGACACTGAGTGGAGGCCAGTGGAGGGATTGGCAGAGAGGGATGGAGGACACTGAGTGGAGGCCAGTGGAGGGATTGGCAGAGGGGGTGGAGGACACTGAATGGAGGTCAGTGGAGGGATTGGCAGAGAGGGATGGAGGACACTGAATGGAAGCCAGTGGAGGGATTGGCAGGGAGGGGTGGAGGACACCGAGTGGAGGCCAGTGGAGGGATTGGCAGAGAGGGAAAGAGGACACTGAGTGGAGGCCAGTGGAGGGATTGGCAGAGGGGGTGGAGGACACTGAATGGAGGTCAGTGGAGGGATTGGCAGAGAGGGATGGAGGACACTGAATGGAAGCCAGTGGAGGGATTGGCAGGGAGGGATGGAGGACACTGAATGGAGGCCGGTAGAGGGATTGGCAGAGAGGGGTGGAGGACACTGAATGGAGGTCAGTGGAGGGATTGGCAGAGAAAGATGGGAGACACTGAATGGAGGCCAGTGGAGGGATTGGCAGAGAGGGATGGAGGACACTGAATGGAGGCCGGTGGAGGGATTGGCAGAGAGGGATGGAGGACACTGAATGGAGGCTGGTGGAGGGATTGGCAGAGAGGGATGGAGGACACTGTGTGGAGGGCAGTGGAGGGATTGGCAGAGGGGGATGGAGGACACTGAGTGGAGGTCAGTGGAGGGATTGGCAGAGAGGGGTGGAGGACACTGAGTGGAGGTCAGTGGAGGGATTGTCAGAGAGGGGTGGAGGACACTGAGTGGAGGTCAGTGGAGGGATTGTCAGAGAGGGATGGAGGACACTGAGTGGAGGTCAGTGGAGGGATTTGCAGAGAGGGGTGGAGGACACTGAGTGGAGGTCAGTGGAGGGATTGGCAGAAAGGGGTGGCAGATACAGAACGGTTAGTAAGGGGGATGAGTCTGGCAACAGCATTCATGATAGACTGAAGATGGGATAGCCTGCGATGAGATCGGCCAATGAGGAGGGAGTTGCAATAGTCAAGGCGAGAAATAACCAGGGAGTGAATGAGTTGCTTCGTGGTTTCCGAGGTTAAGAACAGGCGTATCTTGGAGATGTTGCGGAGGTGAAGTCTACAACAATCACAAGAGTTCCGAGTAGTCATGGCAAAGCAGCCCATGCACTCTCCAGTTTTAGTAAATCTCCCCGTATCTGTCAATTTTTGCATCGTAGCGAGCTGCCAGATCTACAACAGACCAGGATCTTGAGAAAATCTTTCGGTGGCAGATCTGCAGGTGTAATGGCAGCCTTGTTCCTGGCTACACATTCAGAAGAAGACGTCCCTCCAATGACAACGCTACGCCATGCAATCAGGCTGCAGATGGATTTCACATAATACCGCACGCTAACCGAGTTAATGAGCTCAATAATCAATTGGAATTTCACTAATCACCTCGTTGTAGTCATGTACACATAGTTAGCAAAGGAGACATCTGGGACAGTTCTGGGAAAACTCCAGTCAATTAGAGCAGAAGACGCGAACGTACAATATATTCACTCATTGAAATGATTCAGGGTTTTCTCTCCGCCCGGGGCAGCTGGACTCTCTATGGCTTCTGCTAATGAACAAAACCCAATAGATACTGCAGATCTGTACCTTCAATCCTCCTGGGGCTGAGCCTGAAGAGTGAAAACTGTATACGGTACAGCAGGGGCCCTCAAACTTTTTAAACAGGGGGCCAGTTCACTGTCCTTCAAACTGTTGGAGGGCCGGACTATAGTTTAAAAAAAAAAACAAAAACTATGAAGAAATGCGGACCAAGTACAGGAGATGACCAGAGACTGCGAACATACAACGGCGGCGGGAATACTGGGCCGGCCGCTCCATAAGATGCACAGACATTTCCCCCCCAAGTGTGTCTTATGGAGCGAAATATACGGTAAATGCAGGACACCTTGTTGGGTCAGATCTGTGTAAAGAGAGAGAGGGGGGGGGGATAAGGAGGGGGAAAGAGAGAGAGGGGGGGGGTAAGGAGGGGGAAAGAGAGAGAGGGGGGGTAAGGAGGGGGAAAGAGAGAGAGGGGGGGTAAGGAGGGAGAGAGAGAGAGAGGGGGGGAAGGGGGGGAGAGGAGAGGGGGGAGAGGAGAGGGGGGAGAGAGAGAGAGAGAGAGAGGGGGGGGGCAGAAAGAGAGGAGGGGAAGAGAGAGAGAGGAGGAGGGAAGAGAGAGAGGGGGGAGGGAAGAGAGAGAGAGGGGGGAGGGAAGAGAGAGAGGGGGGAGAGAGCGAGAGAGAGAGGGGGAGGGAAAGAGAGAGAGGGGGGGAGGGAAGAGAGAGAGGGGGAGGGAAAGAGAGAGAGGGGGAGGGAAGAGAGAGAGGGGGAGGGAAGAGAGAGAGGGGGAGGGAAGAGAGAGAGGGGGAGGGAAGAGAGAGAGGGGAGGGAAGAGAGAGGGGGGGAGGGAAGAGAGAGAGGGAAGAGAGAGGGGGAGGGAAGAGAGAGGGGGGAGGGAAGAGAGAGGGGGGGGAAGAGAGAGGGGGGGGGAAGAGAGAGGGGGGAGGGAAGAGAGAGGGGGGAGGGAAGAGAGAGGGGGGAGGGAAGAGAGAGGGGGGAGGGAAGAGAGAGGGGGGAGGGAAGAGAGAGGGGGGAGGGAAGAGAGAGGGGGGAGGGAAGAGAGGGGGGGAGGGGAGAGAGAGAGAGGGGGGAGGGAAGAGAGAGAAGGGGGGAGGGAAGAGAGAGAAGGGGGGAGGGAAGAGAGAGAAGGGGGGAGGGAAGAGAGAGAGGGGGGAGGGAAGAGAGAGAGGGGGGGGGGGGAGAGAGGAGGGGGAGGGAAGAGAGAGGGGGGAGAGGTGGGAAGATTTTTTTTTTTACACCGATTGCTTTTACACCCATAAAGGCTGTAAAAGCAATCATTTCTCCTTCTCTCTGGCTGCATTCTTGCAGCCATTGAGAAATGCTGTGTGAGCTGTGATTGGTCACAGCCTGTCACATGGTACAAGGCTGTTGTGAATGGCCCTGTACCATGTGACCTCTGTGATCATTCAGATTTCACAAGTAGTAAGCAATGATGTCAGAAGTGACATCTTGCTTACTGCTCTTCATGTGATCACTGATTGGCCAATCAGTGATCACATGATCAGGACCTCACACAGAGCTCCCGTACGACGATCGGTGCTCCACTGTGTCCTCCGGACACAGCTGGCACCGGATCGAGGTGCTGCGCGCGCTCCCAGGGAGCGCACACAAGAAGGGAGGATGTTTATAAACGACCACCCGACCCTGTACTGCTACCGTCCGGTGGTTTATATACATGGGCTGGACGGGAAGTGGTTAATCTTCAAATACGGAAAGGTTTCTTCACAGTAAGAGCTGTGAGAATGTGGAATAGACTCCCTCAAGAGTTGGTTCTGGCCAGCTCAGTGGACTGCTGTAGGAAAGTCCTGGATTCTTTCTTGGATACACAGAATATAACTGGATCAGGGCCCGGGGTCAGTAGGGGAACTCATAAAATGCCCCTGGTACCTTTTTTATAGGCTTTTTTGGGTGTGCTTTGAGTGTGGGCAAGGACACAGGGGCCCCATGATCCCGTATTGCCCGGGGGCCCCATGAGTTGTCAGTCCGCCCCTGAACTGGGTATAACATTTATAGGTTAAGTGGATCCAGGGAATATCCAATTGTCTCTCGGGGGATCAGGAAGGAATTTTTTCCCAGCAGGAGCCAATTGGATCGTGCTTTGCTGGGTTTTTTGCCTTCCTCTGGATCAACTGTGGGTGTAGGATTATAACTGTGGTTTTTTTTTCTGGTTGAACTGGATGGACTTTTGTCTTTTTTCAGCCAGACTAACTATGTCACTTATAGCAGACGCACGTCACTCTGGGCTCCTTACACCTCCAGATTCATTCCACATATGTCTAGCTATGGATACATATGTTGTGTTAGGAGAGTGCAATGATTCTAATTAATTTGCTGTGAATAATGAGTAAAGGATTTAAAGCTGCATTATCAAGCGGAAAATTGATTTTTTTTACTAAGCTGCAAATTTGTCTTCGGTGTTTGTTTATACAGAAGAGAAGGTGAGATGAACCTCCAACAGCCATAATGGTGAGACTTCCGTGTTACCAAATGAATTGCCCCATCCATAACTAACGCTTTAGTTCAGGGCAAGCAGGTAAGTGGACAGCTCACCTTTTTTTTTTTAATATCTAATTTCATCTCCTCTAGGGAGGTGCCCTATGGAGGTGTGGCCTGTAGCAGCCAGTCATATTTCATTTCTGGAGGGCAGAGGCTGAATCAAAATCAGACACCTTGTTAGATTTTTTTTTTCTCCATCCTTAAAGGACACAGTCCAGAAATTCTTTACACATGGGTATACTGCCAGCTCCTAGGGCAGGGGGGTGTCAGACTTAATTTCAATTGACTTCTGTGTTACCAAATTAATAAAAAAAAAAAAAAATTTTTTTGTACTCACCAAAAAAAAAAAATCCTTTTTTTCGGTGGCCATTGAGGAACAAGAAAATCCTAAACCTTCAGGTTATACTGCAACCTACAGGAAGAGTGGACGATGGCAAACATATGTAGGCCAATACAGTAATCCAGGGGTGTCAAACTCAATTTCATTGCAGGCCGCATTAGCATTATGGTTGCCCTCAATGGCCTGGTTGTATCTGTAAGGCTAGATGTCCAGAGCACTCCACCCCCCCCCCCTCCTTACATCAGATATCAAGAGTGCCCCCACCATCAGAAGTCAAAAGTCCTTCACCCTCCCTTACATCACAGTGCAAACCCCTTACCTTGTGCTACTGCCAGGAAGAAGCTGGGGGCTGAGCTAGGAAACTGAAAGTTATGGGTCTGGAGGAGGACCAGAGGAGGGCCGGAGTCAGCTGTAGGAGTTTGTGGAATGCTGACACCAGGGGAGGCGGAGATAAGGGGGTGCTGCGGCTGCACATTGAAATGCAGGATCTGTAGCTGGAGTTTGCTCCTCCTCTCTGCTGCTGACTGTTGGGGAAGGGGGGCGATGTTGGCAGAGACAAGCCTCTCCTTGGCTGCACAGAGTAGTGCAGGATCTGACAGAGGAGTTCTGTACACCTCTCTGCTGCCAACTGCTGGGGGAGGGGGATGTTGGCGGAGACAAGCCTCCCCTTGGCTGCACATAGTGCAGGATCTGACAGAGGTGTTCTGTCCTCCTCTCTGCTGCCGACTGCTGGGGGAGGGGGATGTTGGCAGAGACAAGCCTCTACTTGGTTGCACAGAGAGGCACAGGATCTGACAGAGGAGCTCTGTACACCTCTCTGCTGCCGATTGTGGGGGAAGGGGGATGTTGGCGGAGACAAGCCTCCCCTTGGCTGCACACAGTAGTGCAGGATCTGACAGAGGTGTTCTGTCCTCCTCTCTGCTGCCGACTGCTGGGGGAGGGGGATGTTGGCAGAGACAAGCCTCTCCTTGGGTGCACAGAGAGGCACAGGATCTGACAGAGGAATTTTGCCCCCCTCTCTGCTGCCGACTGCTGAGACAAAAGTGGGGGCAGAGATGAGAGGGGTGCTGCAGCTGCAGGAGAGCTGCATGGGCCACATGAAATGGCCTGGCAGGCCGGATTTGGCCCACGGCAAATCGCGTTTATAAGCGTTTGCTAATTTTTTTTTTATCTCTTCCAGTTCCCGATGCTGTCCAGAGCCTTTTTTCATCATGAAAAATGCATGCAAATGCAAAGCGTTTTCAAGGTACTCAAATGGACAAAACACTGAACACAGGATGTTCCGACCAAGCTTGTCACACATTGTAATGACCATTCACACCTCAGACCTCTCCCACCCCTGGAAACAAAAGATATGGTAATGACCAATTCACACCTCAGACCTCTCCCACCCTTGGAAACAATAGATATGTTAATGACCATTCACACCTCAAATTCCTCATGAAGACCCCTGCCAGGTGACCTTAATGACTCCCTCCACCAGACACCTTTCCCACCCTTGGAAACAAAAGAAATGTTAATGAGCAACTCACACCTAAGCTAATCTTAACACATCCTGCTGTCTCTGCTTCTACTCTCTGTATTTCTCTGAAACAGTCTGAAATAGTTAATAATTTACCACTTTTCAGTGCATTCTGGGCACTTGGGAGGTTCTCCTGTGC